TTCTGGAGTTGGTGGTCCTGGGGGAACTGCGACTGCTGGTCCTGGAGGTGCTCGTACCAGGGGTGCTGGAGCTGCCGGGACTAGTGGTGTTGGGAGCGCTGGAGCTGGAGACCCTACGAAGCCTGGAGGAGCTGGAGTTGGAGGCACTGGCGCGGGAGGCGCTGGAGCTAGAGGAGCTGGAGCTGGAGGTGCTGGAGGCACTGTGCGGCCGCGACCGTACTTCGTTCCCCTGCTTCAGCAGGTTCTTGGTGTCCCGTCTACTAGCCTTACTCCTCCCCTCCTGTGTCCGCCGCCTGACCAGTCGCAGCCGCCGTTATTGTCAGCCTCCCCACTGCCTGCTCCTTCTCCGTACACTGAGCAGTCCGGCGGTCTTACAGAGCGTCATGAGCCTGCGTCCCGTCCCGTCTCGCATGTTCGCACTGCTCGTCGCGTTCCTTGTTCGCGTCCTCCTCCTGTCCCTGGCACGCACGCTATGGCACTCCGTCCTTGCTCTGTTCCATTGCGTGTTCCTCTGCCTGCTCCTCCTGAGTCCTCTCTTCCTGAGGTCCCTGACCCTGAGTCTGACCGCGCTCGTGGTGCCAGTCCTACTGCCTCTCGTCTTCTCGCCACTGCTAACACAAACCCTTCTTTTGAGTCTGCTGCTGCGTCTGCTCTCATTGCTGAGCTGCTTGACTTTGCTGCTGACTGTCGTCTCAACTACGCCACTGCTCTTGTTGCTGAGTCTGCTTCTGCCAGTCCTCCGACCGTCAGGGGTGAGTGTTCTCTTCGCACGGACGTCCTTGAGGACAGGCAGGAGGACTTTGAATGTCTTGCAGCTGCTGTACCTCGTTTCGCTTCCATGCTGCTTGCCCCTGAGGGAGACCCGGATGCACCAGACATCCCGACCCCGCGCTCTTACGCAGAGGCGATTACGGGTCCTTACTCCTCTCAGTGGTAGGCAGCCATGGATGCCGAGATGGCATCCTAGAAGTCCACAGGCACCTACGTCGACGAGGTTCCCCCACCTAGGGCGAACATTGTCGATGGCATGTGGATTTTCAGGGTGAAGCGGCCGCCGGGTTCTCCGCTTGCCTTTAAGGCGCGTTACGTTGCTCGAGGCTTCAGTCAGCGACAGGGGGTTGACTACTTCCAGACCTTTTCCCCCACCCCAAAGATGACTACTCTTCGGGTGTTACTGCACATCGCTGCTCAGCGTGACTACGAGTTACACTCTTTGGACTTCAGCACAGCTTTCTTGCAGGGCAGCCTGCACGAGGAGATCTGGCTGCGCTGACCACCTGGTTTCACTAGGACGTTTCCTGCAGGTACCCAGTGGAGCCTTTGCCGACCAGTCTACGGTCTCCGCCAGGCGCCTCATGAGTGGCACGACACACTGAGGACTACACTTGCGGCTCTTGGGTTTGCTCCTTCTACTGCTGACCCGTCGCTGTTTCTACGCACCAACATCTCGCTGCCACCGTTCTATGTCCTCGTCTACGTGGACAACCTCGTGTTTGCCACTGCTGACAACGAGGCACTGACCCTTGTGAAGTCGGAGCTGCAGAAGAGACACACCTGCACTGACCTGGGTGAACTGCGCAGCTATCTTGGCTTGCAGATCACCTGGGACAGAGCACGACGCACCATCACCCTGACTCAGTCACACATGGTGCACCAGGTCCTTCAGCGCTTCGGCTTCTAGTTCTCCTCGCCACAGCCCACTCCACTGTCTACCAGCCACTCGCTCTCAGCTCCACCTTCGGACGAGTCCGTAGAGCCGAGTGGTCCGTACCCAGAGCTTGTGGGTTGCCTCATGTACCTGATGACGTGCACACGACCTGACCTCGCGTACCCTCTCAGCCTCCTGGCTCGCTATGTGGCTCCCGGTAGGCACCGAAAGGTGCATTGGGATGCTGCGAAGAGGGTATTGCGTTACCTGTGCAGTACGTCAGGCATGGGGCTCGTGCTTGGAGGACGGGGTCCAGTTGTCCTCACTGGTCACGCAGACGCTTCCTGGGTTGACGACTCAGCTATGCAGCGGTCGTCACAGGGTTACACCTTCAGCCTCGGTTCCGGCTCCGTTTCCTGGCGGTCTACCCGCTCATCTTCGGTTCTCAGCTCCAGTTGTGAGGCTGAGATCTACGCCGGGGCCATGGCTGCTCAGGAGCTACGCTGGCTCACCTACCTGCTGACTGACTTGGGAGAGCAGCCTCATTCGCCTCCAATTCTGTACGTAGACAACAAGGCCATGATTGCCTTGTGTCAGGAGCACAGACTGGAGCACATAACGAAGCACATTGCTCTGCGATACTTCCTTGCTCGTGAGTTGCAGCAGCGTGGCCAGCTTCGTCTTGCGTACGTGGCCACTAGGGCCAACACTGCTGATGTATTCACCAAGGCACTTCCGCCTTTTGATCATCAGCGCTTCTCTACTGTGTTAGGCCTTGTGCCTACTTTGCCTCACCTGCTCACTGCTTGACTTTGCTTGTACTGTGATCTCTATATATACCTGCATGCTTACACTTGCTAGCGTATGATCACTGTATTGTTTGTTCTCTTTATATAACTCTGCATGTGAACGGGCCTTGTGGCTCTTTGCTTGTGCTTGGACTGTGTGGTGACTTTGTGATCCACCCTGAGCTTGCTTTGCTTTCTTGACTGGTCTTGTGACCACTTGTTCTCCCCCACTTTGCCTATGGGGGTGTGTCAAACTTATATCTAGCTTACTTTGTGTAGGCTGTAGTGAGGTAGCCTATAAGGGGTACAACCCAACTAGGGTTAGTACTTGTACCCAACTGCTTCATAGTTCATTCATTCTCGTTCACACATTCTAACAATAAGCGCATATGCGCTACTATCTGGGGTATTATGGTATGTGTTGGCAGCAACCAAGCTCGAGGCCCAAATTGGGCGCTGGTGGGTGGGGGTTGTGAACTCAAAAGTTGAGCGCAGTGGCTTGTCTGGTTTCGCTGCAACACTTGTTTTTTTGCCGAGTCAGCAAGCTTCCCGGGGGGAACGTGGGTTTGGGGACCTCGAGTCCCAAATTTCCGAGTCAAGAAAGTTAAAGTTTTTGCAGTGAGTGCAGATTTGACCAATCAAGTTGCATCGCCTCTACAGTAGGTTGCAAGCAGACATGGAGTGACGCGGTGTCGGTTGTCAGTACTCACGTGCTTGCGTCGTAGTGCATCATTACGAAATTGAGTGTATCGTTACGAAATTTCTAGGAAACTTCGTCTCGATAAGTAGAGTTTTGAGGGGGGGGGTTCCCTGTACGCTCTTCAGGGTAATCTTCGCTAAGGGAAATTTACCCCAGAGCATCAGTGTGGCCTAAATCGTTTCACTGTCAAATCAGTGTAACACTAATCCCTAAAAAAATTACCCAAACACATTAGTGCAAGCCCTAAATTTCACCCTTCTCATCAGCATAGCAGTATGATTTACACTGATAAAATAGGCCCTGGTTGGTCCCCACGTTAACTACAAAACTACCCGGCCGCACAGGTTTTTGTTGGCGCTCTCGATAACACCTCGCTACCCACTGGGTCAAAACGAGGGTGTTATTTGGCGCAGCGGAATGCCCTTTAACACACCCCACACACTCTCAGAAGTGTGGACCAACGTACCGTTGTCCCATGTGTTTTTCTCCGTCCTTGGTCGCCGCAAGTGAACCTGAGCCCCTTCGCTTGGATTTCAACTCCTGGCTGGACCGCGCTGTATGCTTGACTGATGATTACGCGGTGACCTTTGAGTTGACTCAAAAGACACCTCTCTACTACTACAGTACTACCTAAAGGCCAGGTTCCGAGTGGGAGCCTCCGAGAGGTCTCTCTCCTCCATCTCGAGCGGCTTGCACAATGGGATGACCAGGAGTAAAGCTGGCTTTATTGTAGGGTTTCTGCATTCGAGTTGCGGAAACTATTGTCGGATGGACCTTAGGAAGGCTCTTGCGACAATCGTTGATTCCTGACTTCTGGTAGTAGTACTGATTCCATACTGTCCTAGTATGCCGCATTTGTGTGAAGCTACATAAGCCGGTTCCACTTCCCCTTTGCAGCCGTGGTCCCGAGAGGTGAGTGGAGAGGGAGGGAAGCTAGTAAAAGTGGTACACTGAGGCGGGATTTTGTCTATATGTGATCGTCTATTCTTCATAACCATGCATGATGGTACTAGGCTAGGTCAACAGAATCTCAACAGAATCTAGTGTCATAATCCCAACCACTAGACCATTGAGATAAAAGGGCTTGTTAAGTAGCGGGTCAGTGCGCCCATAACCCCCCAGGCCAACATGCCTGTAACCCTTCCCTAGGATCAATCGAGGATCACCAGTGGACCTCTGACACCCCCCCGCACTGGGATGCCCGAAGTGCACACACTGGGATTCGAACCTGAAACCTTCGCTCTGATACCATGTCAGAATCCCAACCACTAGACCATTGGGATAAAAGGGCTTGTTAAGTAGAGGGTCAGTGCGCCCATAACTCCCCAGGCCAACATGCCTGTAACCCTTCCCTAGGATCAATCGGGGATCACCAGTGGACCTCTAACATTTAGCTGCTGCTCACGCTAGGGATTCGATTCAACGTCAGGCTGGCCCCGGCTTCAATGTTCATCTCGGCTTGAGCAACGATTTCTGTCAATGCTGATGCACCCTTCTGTGCACTGACGCTGGCATTGCCCTCCCGCGCTTGCACGGTAGGAGGACGCGAATCTGCTGCGCCACGCACTGCAGTGCGGCATGAAGCAGTGGGGCGACCTGGGGAGGAGCGGTCAGCTCAAGAGGAGCAACAAGTCGTGCTGTAACCGTTACATCTTCCTCCGAAGGTACTAACCCCACGTGCCACATACATGATTTGAAAATACATTTCCGAGCCGTTTAGTAAAGAGAAGTACAATTCTGTAGAGAAGTACAATTCCGTTCGTGGTGCCCTTGTCCTTTTGGCTGCAGAAGGTTCATCCGCCGCTTGCAGCAGCACGTATGAAAGGGCCTCCCACGCGGCGGCGCACCCCCAAGGCTCGCGTCTATGCAGAGCCAGGCTCTACAGCAGCAGCAGCAGCAGCAACAGCAACAACAGCAGCAGCAGCAGCAGCAAGAGGAGGGTGCGGGTTCTCGCGGATCTTCCCCAGCCGCTCTTACTTTTGGCGGGCTGTCCTTTGAAGAGTGCAAGCGCGTGTTCCTCTCACCCAATGACAGCACGCCCTTTGCAGAACCTGAGGCGAGTCCCTCCTCTCGCCTTCGCCCTGCTGTTGTTACTTCTGACCATACTGGTCCTTTTCTTATCTCTGCTGCTGCGTTTAATGTTGTTACTATCCCCGCTGCCACTGCGTGTGATGCTGCTACTATTCCCACAGTGGCTTCTGTGTTTACTGCTATTGCCCTCCCCACTCCTGCTGCTGCATTCGATGCTTTTATCCCCCCAAGGCTTCTTCTGCGCTTGATGCTGCTACTCTCACTACTGCTACTGCGGTGTTCAATGCTGCTCCTGCCCCCATTGCTGCTGCTGACGGTGTATGTAAACCTGCTGCTCTCTCCACTGCTGCCGTGGCCAGTGTCGCTGTCTCTGATGCCACTGCTGCTTTCTGCAAGTTTATGAGGGAAACGTCGCTCTGCCCTGGCCCTGCTGAACAGATGAGGGATGAGCCACTTTGCACCGACCCCGCTGTGTCTGATGCCACGGCTACTTTTTGCAAGCTGATGAGGGAAACGTCTCTCTGCGCCGACCCTGCTGAGGCGACAAGGGAAGCATTGCTCTGCGCAAACCCTGCTGAGGCGACAATGGAAGCATTGATCTGCGCCGACCCTGCTGAGGCGACAAGGGAAGCATTGATCTACGCCGACCCTGCTGAGGCGACAAGGGAAGCGTTGCTCTGCGCCGACCCTGCTGAGGCGACAAGGGAAGCGTTGCTCTGCGCCGACCCTGCTGAGGCGACAAGGGAAGCGTTGCTCTGCGCCGACCCTGCTGAGGCGACAAGGGAAGCATTGCTCTACGCCGACCCTGCTGAGGCGACAAGGGAAGCATTGCTCTGCGCCGACCCTTCTAAGGCGACAAGGGAAGCATTGCTCTGCGCCGACCCTGCTGAGGTGACAAGGGAAGCATTGCTCTGCACCAACCCTGCTGAGGTGACAAGGGAAGCGTTGGCGTGCGCCGACCCAGCAGCACGGAGCCTGCGGAGCAAGCGATCGAGAGAGGGCTGCGCTGGTCGTGCCGTAACATACAGACGCCGGTTCTGTCCACACCCTCATGTCACAGGGTTGCCTGCTGCTCTCTTCTTCCCCACGTGCCCGTGTTTCCCCTTTGCCTGCCTGGACCTGCCACCGTGCCAGTGGCCTTGTGTGCCCTCGCCGCCCATGTGACCATGGGGAGAGAGCTGCGGGGACGAGGGTTGGCAGCCTCCCTGTCTAAGCCAACGCTGCTGGAGTGGCGGAGGGAGCAACGACGGACTAAGCAGGGAGGGGCTCAACTGTAGTCGGATTTTTGCGAGCAGCTGAACGTTCATCAGGGCCTACGGCATGTGTTGACCCCCCCTCTCTTGTCACACCAGACCTCGTCATAGCAACTGCCGCAGCCTCTTGTGCTGCCTTTGCGTTCTTCAACAAGCCCCACAGTACTTGCAAGGCTAATGTTTCCAAGTCTGAACTTACAGGACTCAAGCTTGCAACCTCCTTTGCTCCCTTTCCCACCAACCATACTGCAAGGCTCTACGGTGCTCCAGGCACATGTCAGAGCCTCGTCAGGTCCCATGAACCGGACAATTGCTCCTGTGATTGACATTACCGATTCTTCCGGAGCCATTGCAGTTTGTTTGGACCCCCCGAGTTGGTGTCCACTCGGACTCGCGTGTTCAAACTTTCACAGGTCTACCTGGGTTCAGACAAACAACTTGTTTGAAGCTTGAAATTGTCTTGAATAATTTTGAGCGCAGCAGCAATGTATCGCATGAACTTGACTTCTTCTCTGATATCCTGATTTATACAGGTGCTTTACCATCCTCACAAGACCTAGTGAATCCTGATACCCGTGCGACCATCTGTGGTAATATTAGAGGAGCACATGATTGATAAAAGGAGTGTCTATGTTATGAGTGCAATAGAGTGAACGAATGAAAAATGTTACATAGCGAAGGCAAATGATTACGGTAACACGCTCGTGAAGGGCTCCCCCCACGGGCCCAGCATCTAGTTTGGGAAATGTATACGAAGTGCTGTACGCGGTATGAAGAATAAGGAAGGAACCAAAAGTATCACGTCAATGCACGATATAAATATCGTATCTAGAATGTAGAGTCACGCTATCAAGTTCCTTGGTTTAGATTGGATTCAAGTCACAGGGTAGGTGCAATTCCTCTTCACTGTTTGGTCCGATTCACTTTCGTGATTTCGTGCTGCTAAACAATGGATGCGCTGGTCGCTGCTGCTGACTATGGCTGCTAAAGGACCAAGTGGTTATGATTTACAAACCCACGTGGCTTCTAGGGCCAAGAAAAGCAAGCCGCTCACGTGCTCTGCGGTTGCCGGTAGTGCCAGTTTTCCCAAGGACCGCGCAATTACGCGAGTTGGCAGCAACAGTACTACATCTCTGAGATCTTTGGCTGTAGACCGGTCGAAGATTGGTTTGGTGGTCACGGCGACTGTACCCTCGTCCTTACATTCCGCTCCCACTCTGTTCTTGCTGTTTGATCATACTCTCGATTCGGAACTTCGCCGCGCGCCTGGTTTCCGTTGAGGCTCTCCTGTCAGGTCAAGAGGAGGTTCGGGTTCAAGGATGAGCTGTCATCGGATGCTAGGCGACAGCCTCGCGATAGCAGGAGATTCTCTTCTTGTGCGGACCGCACGTGCGGTCCCCCCTGTAATACTATTGTGGAATTAGATCCGAGCCCTTCCACTTGGTTGGTTTCCAGAAGGTTCGTCACCGTGATGTCTTGACTCGTGATTTGCGGGATGCAAGGCCGGATCCGTGCGCCATGTATCGGCCTTTTCGCATGCATTCATCCATATTATTTGGAGCGTATAGGAACTTCTTTTCTTGTAGGAGATACACACCTGCGCATGGTTGCGGCTTCATGGCGATTGGATGCTCCGTTTCTTTGCGACGTCTCCCCGTCTTGAATCATTTTGACTGGCCTTTCCGCCGTGGAGTGACCACATCGTCACAATTGCTAGTCCTCCTAGCACCAGTCGACTCTGCTCAGCCGTTTTGTGTATTTTGAGTTGCGAAATTACGGTCATCTTGGGCGGCGGGTTTAGAGAGATACCTCGCGTCGACAACAATGACGCATTCCTCTGAGGCTATGATAGGCTGTTCTACGTCCCCACTGCTAAAGGCGTGGTCTCGAGAGGTGAGCGAAGATAGGTGAGAGGAGATAGGTGAACGGAGGTGAGCTAGGTGCGTCATAAGGAGGGGGGATTGGAGAGGGAGGGGGGTTGGAGAGGGAGTGAAACAACGGCTGTGAAATCGGTTCGTGTGCCAAGCAGTTTCTAATCAGTGGGAGCTCGCGCATTCTTCCAAGATTTTGAGCATGGCAGGCTGTCATGTAGGCCAGAAGAGTGTAGCTGCTGCTCACGCCAGCACAGGGGACTCAACACCCCTCGCCCGACGCCTCAATGCTGTTGCCTCCATGTCATGGCCTCCGCACTGGGTGGGCAGGAGGACGCGGTGCTGCTGCACCACGCGCTGCAGTGCGGCACGAAGCAGTGGGGCGAGCTGGAAGGGGCGGTCAGCTCAACCGAAGCAACAAGTTGTGCTGTAACCGTTACATCTTCCTCAGAAGGTATCCCGCGTGCCACACACCCGCTTTCAGATAGCAATGCTGAGTTGTTTCTAAACGAATGTCCGTTTCGCCCCCCTCTTCTGGGCTGCAGAAGGTTCCTTCACCACTTTCAGCAGCACCTCTGGAGGGAACTCTTCTCATTGGGCGGTGATCCCCCAAGGCATAGATTAAGGCAGAGTCAGGTGCCACAGCAGCGGCAGCAGTAGCAGCGGCAGCAGCAGCAGCAGGGTCGTCGTATGGTTGCTCCCCGATCGCTGTCAGCTGCTCTTACTTTCGGTGGGCTGTCGTTTGATGAGTGCAGACACGTGTTCTTCTCACCCAATGGCAGCCGCCTTCCTGCTGAGCTCGAGGCGACCCTCTCCTGTGACTCTCGCCCTGCTGCCGTTGCTTCTGCCCGTGCTACTCTTCTTACCCCTGCTCCAGCGTTTGATTCTGCTCCTATCCCCGCTTCTGCATGTGATGGTGTAACTATATCCGCTCCTGCTGCGTTTGATGCTGTTTTTCTCCCTGCGGCTTCTTCTGCGTTCGGTGCTGCTACCCTCTCTGCCTCTACTGCGTTTGAAGCTGTTGCTCTCCGCACTGCGGCTGCTGGCGGTGCGTGTCAACCTGCTGCTCTCTCCACTGCTGCCATGGTCAGTGTCGCTGTCTCCTATGCCACGGCTGCTTTCTGCAAGCTGATGAGGGAAACATCACTCTGCCCTGGCCCTCCTGAGGTGATGGAGGAAGAGCCGCGTTGCACCGGCCTTGCAGCACCAAGCCTGCAAAGCAAGCGATAAAGGGAGGGGTGCGCTGGCCCTGTCGCAGCTCTACCAATGCCAGGCTGCACAATGCAGCGCCCACAGTCGCTCGACAATGGCTGTGCACTGCAGGGGAAGAGGAGCCGAGTGCAATCACCACTGTTGTTGTGTATTGGGTCCAAGAGTACCCTTCCAGATGGCATGCTGCTGGGGGTCAGCTGCGGGGAGGCAGGATACAGCGCACCATCACCACGTGCCATTATAGAGTCAATGTCTCAACGCCACGTCCGGCCAGCGCCTCTGCCCTCGCAAGTCACTGCTCTGGGTGGTTCACTCCCAGGAACGAGGAGCAGATGCATGTGCACGATGGCCCCTGACAAGAAGCACCTTAACACACAAACGCCGTTTCTGCCCGCAGCCTCATGTCACAGGGCTGCCTGCTGCTCTCTTGTTCCCCACTTGCCCGAGTCTTCCCTCTGCCACCTGTCATGCGACGTGGCCTTGTGCTCTCCCGCCCCCCGCCTGCCTGTGGGGAGAGAGCCGCAGGGGCAAGGGCTGGTAGCCTCCCTCTCCGAGCCAGTGCTGCTGGAGTGGCCTCTGGAACAAGGAAAGTGCGGGGGGGAGGGAGGTGCTCAATTGCAGAGGTTTTTTCGCGAGCAGATGAGTGTTCGTCAGAGCCTACAACATGTGAATAGTCCCTCTTTGCCGTTGCACCGGCTCCCATCACAGCACCTGCCGAAGCCATTGCTGCTGCCTTTTCATTCCCCCCTTTTCCCCCTAGTAGCCGCAAGGCAAATGCTTCTGAATCCGAGCCCAAGAAGCTCAAGCTTGCAACCTCCTTCACCTTTGCCATGCTCTACGTTGCTGCAGGCGCATTTCAGAGCTTCGGCCGATCCCATGATTGATTCCTCCCGAGACCACGCGGTTGCTTCGGAGGCCCTAGTTGATGAGCACTTCAACTCACGTGCTCAATCTTCTACAGTTCCGCTTGGGTTCAGAGGAACAGCTACTCTGAAGCCTGAAAACTACATGGAAAATTTTGAGCACATAAATGTATTGCGTGAAGTTGTTGACTTTTCGGATACGTCGATTCTGTCAAAATCAACAGTGCAGGAATGATTGTCCCAATCCCAGTCACCACACCACTGGGATGAAAGGGCTTGTTTGTGTAGCGGGTTTGTGCGCCCATAACCCCCTAGGCGAATGCGCATGTAACCCCTCCTAGGATCAATCGGGCATCCACAGTACAGATCTACTGACACCCCCCCACACTGGGAGGCCCAGGACCGAGCACAGCGGCAACGGCTGTCAGAGGTCCACTGGTGATCCCCAATTGATCATAGGGAAGGGTTACAGGCTCGTTGTCTTGGAGGGTTATGGGCGCACTGACCCGCTACTTAACAAGCCCTTTTATCCCAATGGTCTAGTGGTTGGGATTCTGACATGGTATCAGAGCGAAGGTCTCGGGTTCGAATCCAAGTGTGTGCACTTCGGGCATCCCAGTGCGGAGGGGTGTCAGAGGTCCACTGGTGATCCTCGATTGATCATAGGGAAGGGTTACAGACTCGTTGTCCTGGGGGGTTATGGGCGCACTGACCCGCTACTTAACAAGCCTTTTTATCCCAATGGTCTAGTGGTTGGGATTTTGACAACGACCTACATGTGCACACATCGGGATTCGAACCCGAGACTGCTTTGATACCATGTCAGAATCAACTCTGCAGGAATGATTGGATTAGCAAGAGTTAGGGTACAAGTTCTAACCCTAGAAGTGCTGTACCTCATAAGGAGTGCCCCAGTATAGTCTACAAATAAGATTGTACCTTGACAGATTCATAGAGGGCTTTCACCATCCTCACAAGAACTAGGGACGCACGATACCTCTGTGACCATCCGGAATAGTTTTTGCGGAACAGATCACTATCCTTGATAAAACAGTGACTTTGTAAAGATAGTTTACTGATAACTTTTGGCCCTGGAAAATCCTTGTACCAACCTTTTCTCGCCATAGTGGTTTTCGTTTTAGGGAGCTAAAAGTTTGCCGAGCACGTTTAGGAACCGAGCGGTAAACATTCGGTTCATTTGACCAAGGTTAGCCAACCACACATGCAGGTTCTTACAACGAGACCCAGGACGCAGATTCCAGCTCATCGCTGCCGTCCTTGCCAGCAGCTGATGAAGTGGTCATAATTTACAAACCCCCATGGCTTCCCTGGCCGAGAGAAGCAAGCCACTCACGTGCCTTTCGGTTACGCATGGACCACGCGCTGATGCGAGTTGGCAGCAACAGCACTATACGGACTGGATGTTCGACAAATTGGTTCCGACCTTCCAATGCTCGAAGCGGCAACCGTACTACTCATCACGACCGCTTCTGCTCCATTCTTGCTGCTTGATACGCTCAATTCGGAAGTTGCGGGGCCCGGGGGGTTTCGTTGGAGCTCACCTGCCTTGGGTTCGGGTTTAGGGATGAGTTTCGCTCGATGTACGACACGAGATTGCGTTTCTTGTGCGACACTGTACCAAACGTGTCGTCTCCCGTACGACGGGAACTAGATCCGAGCCATTGGCACTTCTAGTATAATGTCGCACATTCGCACTTCCATCGCCATCATATTTTGACTGATGATTGCCCGGGGGGGGGAGCCAAAGGTCCGATCCGTGTCCCGCATGTACCGGTATTTTGCGGGCATTGATCGTCAATCAAAGCATCTCGAAACTTCGTTCCTTACCGGATATTTTGCGAGCATTCATCCTTACGTGCGGCGCATGGTTGCGGTTTTACGGCGTGCCCTAAGACGTTTCCCCTCTTGAATCATTTCCAGTAGGCTTCTGTGTTCTTCTAAGACGTTCTTGACGAGACCCGCCTCGTGTTTCTAGCAGTGCTACTACTATATCGCAGCCATTTCTCTGTATTCGTGTTGCGAATTGATTTCTACCTTGGAATGGCAACGTTGCTGCATTTTTCTGAAGCCATAGGCGGTTCTACGTCCCCATTGCTAAAGGCGTGGTCCTGGGAGGTGAGTGGTACTATTTGATAAGCTTCCTGAGGAGGATGGAGTGGAGAGGAGGGGAACGAGGGCTGTAAAACAAGGGTTATTGAGCACAGCGGTGGTTTTTATGAGTATGAGTTCGACCATTTCTACAAGCTTTCGAGCATGCTCACGCCACCACAAGAGACTCAAGACCCCTTGCCCGATTCTCTAATGGAGACGAATCCCTAATTGCGGTTCGAACATGCCTGTAGTTGTAGGATTCCGTGAGGGGTGAGTTTTCCCCCATTCCAATGCTGGGAATGAGGCAAGCTTGGGTCAAGCAACTCTTCTCAGCGCTGTTGCAACCTCATGCGCGCTCTCATTGCCCCTCGAGCCGCTCACTCCCTCCGCGCTCTCACGGCAGGAGGACGTGGTGCTGCTGCGCCATGCGCTGCAGTGTGGCACGAAGCAGTGGGGAGAGCTGGTGAGGAGCGGTCAGCTCCAGAGGAGCAACAAATCGTGCTGTAACCGTTACATCTTCCTCTGAAGGTAACCTTGCGTACAGCGTACATCTATCTAAAGAAGAATGTCTGAGCTGTTGTATTACATGTGCTCGTTGTGCCCCATTGTTCCACCGTCCACGTGCAGAAGGTTTGTTCACCATTGTTTCAGCAGCACCTGAGGAGTGAATGGTTCCCATGCAGTGCACCCCCAAGGCACATTCCTATGCAGAGCCACGTGCTACAGCAGCAGCAGCAGCAGCACCAAAAGGGTGGTGTGGGTTCACACCGATCACGGTCAGCTGCTCTTACTTTTGGTGGGCTATCGTTTGAGGAGTGCAGGCGCGTGTTCCTCTCACCCAATCACAGTTGCCCACCTGCCGAGCCTGTGTCGACCCTTGCTGCTGTTGCTGCGGCCCATGCTGCTCCTCCGCCCACTGCTGCTGCCGCGAAAAAATATTATTCTCGCCCCACTGCTGTTTCTGCATTTGATGCTGCTTTAAATTTCTCTGTTGCTGCTCCGTTTTATGCTGCTGCTCTCCCCATTGCTGCTGCTGGGTCCGGTGGTGCCACTCTCCCCGTTGCTGCTGCTGGGTTTGGTGCTGCTCCTCTCACCACTGTTGCTGCTACATTGGACGCTAATACCCCTCCCACTGCTGCTGCTGCTGATGCATGTGAACCTGCTCCTGCTGCTGCTGAAGGTGCTTATAAACATGCTCCTCTCTCCACAGCTGCCAGAGCCTCTGCTGCTGTCTCCGATGCCACTGCTGCATTTTGCAAGCTGATGAGAGAAACGTCTCTCTGCTCCGACCCTGGAGCACTCAGCCTGTCAAGGAAGCGACCAAGGGAGGGCTGCACTGGCCCTGTCTTTACTGACCATGTCGCAGCTTCACCCGTGCCAGGAGGCACAGTGCAGTGCTCACGGTCGCTGGCGAGTGGCTGTGCGCAGCAGGGGAAGAGGAGCCGCGTGCAACCAGCACCGTGGCCTCGGATTGGGTCAGAGAGTGCTTTTCCAGACGGCGTGCTGCTGGGGATCAGCATCAAGGACCACATGCCTGGCGACCGCACACCGCATGCTGCTCTGCCAGTGCCTCTGCGCTCGCAAGTTACAGCTTTGGGTGGTTCATTCCCCGGGGCGAAGAGCAGGTGCATCTGCAGGAAGGCCCCTCACGATAAGTGCTTTAATAGACAGACGCCAGTTCAGCCCACCGCCTCATGCCACTGGCTTGCCTGCTGCTCGCTTGCTCCCCACACGCCCGTGTCTCCCCTCTGCCTGCCTGGGCCAGCCTACCACCTGCCAGTGCGTCACCCACTATGTGCCGTTGCCCTCCGTGCTCCTGACGCGCTCTTGCCCGAGGGGAGAGAGCTACAGGGACCAGAGCTGGCAGCCTTTCTGTCCGAACCAACGCTGCTAGATTGACGTCCAGATTCGAACCCCGAAATCCGTGCTTGCAACCTCCCTCGCCTCCTGCCCCGCAAGGCTCTACGGTGCTGCAGGTACATGTCAGAGCTTCGCCAGGTCCCATGAACCGGACAATTGCTCCTCTCATCGATGCGACTGATTTCTCCGGAGCCCACGCAGCTGCTTTAGAGGCCCTAGTTGATGACCAATTGGACTCAAGTGCTCAATTTTCAACAGTTGACCTTCGATTCAGAGGAGCAGCTAGTTCGGAGCGGGAAAACGGCTTGGGCAATTATCAGCACAGCAGGAATGGATTCCATGAACTTGACGTCTTCTTGAACATGTCGATTCATGTAGGCCTTTCTCCAACCTTATATATACCTCCCCCAATTTTTAGATCTGGCCAAGTGCCTGGTGTTTCTATTGATTTATGCCATATCTATACATAGTTGTATAGATGTAATCACGCATGTGCTTGTGTCGCTCGGGTCTGCAACTCCACCCAATGCCCACGCCTGCTTGATGCTCTTTTGGATCTCAATCTAAAATCTGGAATGTCTAAAATATGAAGCCATTAAGCTATGAGAAGGTTGTGTGTTTAATGTTTCCCTTTTCTGATTCACTGCGTTTCCCCAGCTCCCTTTCACCGCGATTCACGGCACCAAAGCTCACTGGATTTTCAACGATGGAGCTCGGTACTTTGGTGGCACGGCATCAACGGCTCCTGCAGCCGCCTCGCTGAAGCCGACATGCGACAGAGCACGCACAACGTGGTGCAGGCATCAACATCAGCCTCGCCTTAAACGATCATCGAGTCTGCTGGAGCTCGGACCAACGAGAAGCAGTGTGGTTACCGGAAACAGCAGTATCACGGTCGCCGTCGCCGTCACCTGATGTTATTGTCTTCGTAGGCAGGTCTGTGTCGGACACCCGATCCTGGTAGTCGGTGTCATGAACGATCTCCGGTAGTTTTGTATCCGTCTTTTGTTGAAGTTCTTTTCTTAGGGTCATGAGGCTTTCAAGCCCACCTCGTTTTGTTTGCGTCTGTTTTCAGTTAACGACCCCAGCCACCTGCCTTGCTCTGTCATCTAGCTTCATCCCTCCTTTCCTCTATTCCCTTCCTCCTCCATTTCCCCCTCCTCTGTATCCCCGTTCATGTGTTTTCCCGTTCCCGTTGTCCTCCGTCCTTCCGCCATGTTTTCAGGCGGGAGCACGGCAGCATGGCGGAGGGAGTCACACGGCGCAGCTGCTGCGGGTGCTGGGATGGGAGGAAACCTTGGGAGATGCGAAAGAGAAGGGGGAGATGTGCGGAAGAGGAGAGGGAGCTGCGGGGGCGAGTAGGGAAGCTGAGAGCAGCAGGGGCTGGGAGCAGAGTGTGATTGACAAGGGAGAGGTGGGCAGCGGGGAATAGAAAGAGAGGCGAGAGCAGCGGTTGAAATGGGGGAGCTGGGGGCGCAGTGGGGGAGATGAAGGAAGTTGGGACCAGTGGGAAGGAGACACGTCAGAACCAGAAGCAGTTGACAAGGTGAGGGTGGGTGGCGTGGGGTGGGATGCGCTACGAGGGATAATATGGAGTGTTATGGGGCAGGATGGGGTGGATGAGTGGAGCAAGATTGGGATGGGAAGGCCAGGACATGACTATGGGTTATTGGGCGTGTAATCTGCTAGTGGCTCGGTCATTTCCCTGAATCTGGTTGCAGGGAAGGGAGCAGAGCTTTTCATTCGCCCAACATTCGAAGTGAGCTCTCAGCCAAGTGGTCATTCAACTTACCATATGAAATGTGGGATCCGTATCGTACACGATTGTGCCTATATTTGTAAACCTGTTGTTTTTCTTACTGATGTATGCTTGTGTGGGGCATTTGTTCGGGGAGAAGCGAGAAGTGTTTGTATGGAGTAAACGTTTACAGCTAAGACGAGGACCATAGCCAGGTATAAACGTTTTACTTGACATTGTAGTTGTAAATACGACATAAAGAATATTCTGTAACCAATCCACGCGTGTACTCTCACACGTTTGGACTTTCAGAGACTTGAAAGGACAGGCAGACCACTCCACTTGCCTGCTGCTGCTGACGGACGGTTGCGAGCGCACGGTCAGAGAGAGCAGCAATTGCCAATTGCCCCGACCAGACCAGTCCCTAACCACTATCACACGCCATAGATCTCAACATAGTATAGAATTGGTTCCATTCGAAGGTCTTAGAGGAACTTCAGGGACAGTATGCTTCATACGTACGATTCCCTACTAGGATGCCCGCCTTTTTCTGGTGGAGGGTTTCGACCGTGAGAATTCCGGCCTCCCAGCTACAGCTCCAACCAACGCAATGATTCCGTTCACTCCGTGCCCCTTCCTTCCCCAGTCCACTTGGCCCACTTCACTGGCGCATCCTCGTCCCTCGTCCCATCCGCGACCCCCAGCCTTCCCCCATCGCACACCTACTGATGCCCCACGAGTCTCGCCAGCGGAGCCTGGAAGTGCGTCAAGAAAGCATCCCTCCGATGACGCGTAGAGCAAGGCCTGTCCCAACTCCCAAACGACAATCGAGCCAAGATCTTGGTGCATATGCCGCATTGCTGCTCGAGCTGGTAACAGACGGTAGCGTAGTAAGCGAGTCAGAGTCGCGTCGAATCTATGAGCCGGGATTGCGAACCAAGATGGGTATAGGCGTGCGACATGGCCCTTCTCACCATTATCTTTCGAGATTTGGTGCCAGCTGAATTCTGAGACGACTCAATTCGTGCTCTCGTGCCAGTTCACTGAGTGCTCTTAGCTGCCTGATAACAGTACGACGACCGCTTCTAGGAACCGCGGATTTGCTGCCATGCCGCAATCGTCTGAGGTCGTTAACTCCCCGCCTTCCCAATCCGCGTCGCTCGGCATGCAGCCATGGTCGCACGAGGTGGGTTGCGCAGATGTGAGAAGAATCTTTCAAAAAAATCCCGGATTTTCTGGACAGACATTCAATCTTGCAATATCGTCCGCGTCATTGGTGGATCATAATACATTTGTGCGTCAGGACGTTCATGCAGTATGCCTCGAGCCGCGCACTTCCACACTGGCAATGCTTCTGGCATTCACAACGTCGCACTCACGTTGGCAGTCCCTCGCTTTGACTGGGCAGGAGGACGCGGTGCTGCTGCGCCACGCGCTGCAGTGCGGCACGAAGCAGTGGGGAGATCTGGGGAGGGGCGGTCAGCTCAAGCGGAGCAACAAGTCCTGCTGTAACCGTTACATCTTCCTCCGAAGGTAACCCTGCATATGCACCTGAATTAACTCCGGTTTCCTGATACGCCTGAGCATTTCTTTCTTACACGCCTCAGCCTTTCTAAACACCTCTGCTCTCCTGTGGCCGTGTGTTGATGACAGGAAGTTCACTCACCGCTTTCGCAACAACTTTTTGAGAAAGCACCTGGAAGATGCTGCATTCCTCCAGCACGTTTCCTTGGAAGGATACAATCAGCCGCTGTACTGTCAGGATTTCAAGCAGCAGCATCAGCATCAGCTACAGCAGCAGCATTGGCGGCGTGCAGAGGGCGTGGGTTCAGCTGAGCTCGCGTTCGGAGGGCTGACATTTGACGAGTGCACGGCTGTCTTTTTCGCCCCGAATGTGCGCTGCCACCACCTAGCTTTCCCACTTGTCCCACCCAACCTCTCACCTTTCGCCAGCCCACCTCCGGCTTCCCAAGCTCCTCATTTTGCTTCTCAAGCTGCCACCTTTTCTGCTGCAGCGGCTAATGCTTCTACCTCAGAGTTTTCACTCGCCCATGATGCCTTCCCCGTTGCTGCTGCCTCCACCGCCGCTGCTGTGCGCCGCCCATTGAAGCGACCAAGGGACGACTGCACCAGCCTGGGGGCCGACCAGCCGCTGCTGGGCGGACGTGAGAGTCGGTGGATGCGAGGGGGGGCGGTGCGAGGGGGGGCGGTGCGAGGCGGGGTGGTTTGCGGAGGGATGGTCTGCCGGGGGATGGTGTGTTGCACGCAGCGCTGGCGTCAGTAAGTGGCAGAGCAGTTCCAGCAGCAGGGGGAGATTAGCCGCGTGCAGCAGCAGGCAGCGGACGAAGCCCTTCTGGAGGCATTGCTGTGGGAGGAGCGTGGCCAGCAGCAGCAGGGAGGAGTGAGGAGCAGGGCGCAGCGGGTGTTGTGGCCGCGCATTGGGTCAAAGAGTGCCCTTCCAGACGACGTGCTGCTGGGATGCAGCAGCGACGAACCTGCCCTCATGCAACGTGCCACTCTGTCTGCTCCTCCGCCCACCCGGCCACACGCAGAGCTGCCAGCGCCAACGCCCTCCCAATTCGCTGCTCCGCCTGCCTCCACTTTCTGCGTTGGAAATTCCACCCTTTGCTGTGGGGATTTCGCTCCCTGCATTGGGGATTTCGGCGAGGGCTGGCCGCGCGTTGGGTCGGAGAGTGCTCTTCCAGACGACGTGCTGCTGGGAGTGTGCTGTGAGGACTGTGCCTTCACGCAGTGCTCTGCTCCCTCAGCTGCGCCGCCCACCCAGTCACGCGCAGCACTGCCAGCGCCAATGCCCTCCCTGCTTGCTGCTCCGCCTGGCTCCGCTCTCGGGAGCATGAGCAGCGGCATGACACAGACGCTTGATGGGAGTGCGGGTGCCATGCAGGAGCTGGAATACTTGGACGCGCGCATTGCCATGCAGGAGCTGGAATACTTGGACGCGCGCATTGCCATGCAGGAGCTGGAATACTTGGACGCGCGCATTGCCATGCTCGGCAATGGAAACAGCAGCAACCACAGCAACGACAAGGAAAACGACAATGGCAACGGTGCTCTCTTTCTGGACACGCCCGTGGCTCACATGTTGCTGGATGGGCGTACCCTCACCGTGCACTTGGGGAGTGAGCCTCAGCAACAGGCGCTGGCAGCCCCTGGTGCTGCTGGGGCAGTCCCTGGTGCTGCTGGGGCAGACCATCCTGAGTGGGCGGTGGAGCAGGGAGGGACCTGGGAGGGAGATGCTCAGCGGCACCAACACCGGCAGCTGAAGGGTTGTGGGTGTGGAGAGTTGGAGCGCATTCTCTCGCACCACCAACCGCTGCTGCCGCTCTCCCAAATTCCTATGCTGTCAGCCCCCACTCAACCAGTCCTCTATGGTGTGCCCAATGCATTGAACATGCCCTCGAATCCAAGGAACTCGCACATGCAAGTTCTTATACAGCCACGCCCAGCCATGCTGCAGCAGCCCTTCCCCACTGGTGGTGCTTTACCAGCGCTCTGTCCACCCCATGCTGCTTCCTTGGCCCGACATGGCCTTTACTCAGAGATTTGATGGTGGTGCTGCTCCGCATGCCACTGACTCGATACCAGCGTGGATGGCCGTGACTCGACTAATCTGTTCAAGGATTTTTTGCACTTGATACCAGCGGGGTCCAGGTTATGATTGACCATACGAATGCGGATCGTCAATCCTTGGACCTCCACATACAGGCCGTTCTTCCTTGGGATGCCTTCAGGCTCCATTCCATTCCAACATATACTTGATGAAGAAAGCGGTTATCATTTTGACTGTGATCAGATGGCATTGAATTCTGAAAAAAAATCATGCTGACATGCTTACCACACGAAGTTGCTTTTTATTTGTGTTTTGTAAAATATTACTTGTACAAATTTCTAGACAACTCGGTACCGGTATTAGCACTACAATCACCTCGCTTGATCGTATTCTCAATGGGGTATGCTAATGATCACCTGCTGCCTCCATTATATGAGGCGGGAAGAAAATTGCTACCTGGCAAACCTTGAAGTACCGTAAGGCCCCAGATAGAAGCGCAGGCCTCGGATAAGCGCCGGCGGTTGTAAAAGGGTGATGGCGCTTATATCCGGTCCTCGATTATAAGCGCATCCTTGGAGGCTTACGGATTATAAGCGCACCCCTGTATTATGACACATTATAAGCGCCTCCCTTTTTTATTTCGATTATTATTATCCTATCTTTTACAAGCTATTTTCACTACAACATACATATTGTTCCAATTCTACTACGGTACTAAATCCTATTGATAGTTTACCGCAACATTCACTGACCTTCTCTAGCATCCTATACATCACCATCAACAGTGGCGGAGCCATCTTGGTCGGCCTCCCCATCCGACTCTGGCTCCTCTGTCAAACTTATATATGCTATAGTCTGTTTAGGCTGTAGTGGGGTAGTCCTTATAGGGTACAACACTTTTAGGTTTCCCATATGTACCCACCTGCTTTCTAGTTCAGTCATTCCGTTCCTGATTCTAACATGGTATTCTGAGTAGGTTCCCTAGTGGGAACGTTTTTTTAGGGCCCACCACTAAACTTTTCCTGTCCTGCCCGAGTCGCGCGTTGCGGCCCCGTGCTGCCCCTCACCGGCCTGTCCCTGGCCCGTCGCGGCCCCCTTAGCGCCCGTCGCGGCCCCCCATTTCAGCCGTCACGGCCCCTTAGAGCCCGTCGCGGCCCTCTTAGAGCCCGTCGCGGCCCTCCTTAGAGCCCGTCGCGGCCCCCCTTAGAGCCCGTCGCGGCCCCTCAGAGCCCGTCGCGGCCCCTTTTCGGCCCGTCGCGGCCCCTTAGCCGCCCGTCGCGGCCCCCCCTTAGAGCCCGTCGCGGCCCCTTAGCCGCCGTCGCGGCCCCTTAGCCGCCGTCGCGGCCCCTTCGCCGCCCGTCGCGGCCCCCCCCATAGCCGCCCGTCGCGGCCCTGTTCTCGCCGTGTGCTGCGGCCCTGCCCCGCGGCCCTGCCTTCGCCGCCACCAGTGGCCCGCACCGGCCTGTCCCGGCTCGTTGCCGCCCGTCGCCGGCCCGTAGTCGCCCGTCGCTGGCCCGTCGCCGCCCGTCGCTGGCCCGTCGCTGGCCCGTTGCGGCCCTGCCTGTCGCCGCCCGTCGCTGGCCCTGCCCTGCAGCCGCCCTGTCGCGGCCCTGCCTTCGCTGCCTATTGCGGTCCTGCCCTGCAGCCGCCCGCTGCGGCCCTGCCCTGCTGCCGCCCCAGTCGCGGCCCTGCCTGCACCCGCCCCTGGTAAGCACCCGCGCCGCGCCGCCAGGAGCTGAGCCGCGCCGCCCAGACGAGCCGCGCCGCCCAGCCGAGCCGCGCCGCCCAGCAGAGCCGCGTCGCCCACTGAGCCGCACCGCTCTGCCGAGCCGCGCCGCCCTACCGAGCCGCGCCGCCCTACTGAGCCGCACTGCCCTGCACTGCTGCTACTGCTGCTATGGCTAGCCCTACTGTTCTCACCTTTGATGCTGAGGGGCGTGCAGTTGACTTTGACGTGTGGGTTGACGACCTCCAGCTCTTTCTTCAGTATGATTCTAGGGATGGGGTATCCCTTTTTGATCACACGTCCGGTATTTCTACTGCTCCTGGTGCCACTGCTGACAGTACGGTTCGCTCGCAGTGGACCACTCGTGACGCTGTTGCTCGTCTTGCTGTTCGTAGTCACCTGCCGCCTGCTGAGCGCGCGCATTTTGGCCAGTACAAGACTGCTCAGTCTTTGTACGACACGGTAGTTGCGCGCTACTCCTCCCCTGCCACTGCTGCCCTCAGCCGCCTCATGCTGCCATACCTTTTCCCTGACCTTGCCGCCTTTGCCACAGTCGCTGACCTAGTTGCTCACCTCCGCACTAGTGACGCCCGCTACCGCGCTGCCCTTCCCACTGAGTTCTGTGCCAAGAACCCCCCCCCATGTACATCACCCTTTACTACCTAGTCACCTGCCTCCCTGACTCCCTTTCTTCAGTCAGGGACCACTTTCTCTCACTTTGCCCCACTGAGCTGACTATCGACCTGCTAGAGGAGCGCCTTGCTGCAGCTGAGAAGAGTATCTTAGCTGTAGGTGCTTCTCGCGGCGACCGTCGCACCCCTTTCTTTGAGGGGTGTTCCCCTGTCCCCCTTCTCCCATCTGTTGCTTCTGCTGCTGCTGTCGACCTCGTTGGCACTGAGGAGGTCGGAGCTGCGTCTGGCCCTAGTGGGAGACGCCGCAACAGCAAGGGCAAGGGGAGCAAGGGTGATGGAGGGGGCGGCGGGGGCAGCAGTGGAGGAGGTGGAGGAGGCGGAGGAGGTGGCGGTGGAGGTGGGGGTGGTACCGGGAGTGGGGGCGTCGGTGGCGGCGGTGGAGGTGGTGGCGGCGGTGGCGGAGGTGGTGGAGGCAGCGGCGGAGGTGGTGGAGGTGGCGGCGGCGGTGGTGCTGGTCGAGGTGCAGCCGCGCAGCGTGGAGGCTTTGGTGACAGCCAGCGCCAGCAGCAGCTGCGCTCCCGTGAGACCCCGTCGGTCCAACAGCTTCGTGAGTGGTACGCTGGGCGTGGGAGGTCTGGGGGTGCAGGTCCCTGCACTTACATTCTTCGCACCGGCACTCGTAGTGGGGAGGTGTGTGGGCTGCCACACACTACGCAGCGCTGCTTCGGTCGCTTGACTGACGCTTGGCGTGCCCAGTTTCCTGACGCCGTTGAGCTCTCTCGCTGGCATGATCTGCTTCTGCAAAATGTGCCTATCTTTGATCTAGATTTTGATGCTATCCTTGCTGCCATGTATGCTATTGCTGATAGTGCTGAGGGTGACTGTTACCTGAGTGTCCCGCCCGACCCGGGCATGGCGGCTGCTGCTCTAGGTGCTAGTGCGTCTGCTGCTCCAGGTACTGGTGCGTCTGCTGCTCCAGGTGCTGGTGCGTCTGCTCTCTCTGGTACTGCACCTACTGAGTCCTTGCACACTTTCACACTTGACTCTGGTGCTTCGCGCTCTTTCTTTAGAGACAGCACCACGCTCACGCCGCTCAGTCGGCCTGTTGCGGTCTCCCTTGCTGACCCCTCAGGGGGCCCAGTCCTTGCACACTCCTCCACGGTTCTACCGTGTCCTACGGCCCCGTCGGGCTTGCTGTCGGGACTCCACCTCCCCTCGTTCTCTACGAACTTGGTGAGTGGAGCTGACCTCCAGGACGCGTGGGTTGACCAGTTCACCCCTGGAGGTCAGCGTGTGACCCACTGCACTTGCTCTCGGACGGGCCGCCACCTGGCCACGTTCACCCGTCGGCCAGGGTCGAGTCTGTACACACTGACTACTGCGCCTCCTCCGGTCTCTGCGTCTGGTCAGGTAGCTGCGTCTAGTCGGGTGTTTGCTGCCGCGTCCAGGTCTAGTCCTGCGTCTGCCCCCTGCTCGTGTCGTCCTCTGTCGCACGAGACTCTCCTTTGGCACCACCGCCTTGGTCACCCCTCCCTGCCTCGTCTTCGAGGTATGGCCTCCCGTGCCCTTGTCTCGGGTCTACCCCGGTCCTTCCCTCCCCTTCCTCCGGGGCCTGCCCCCACCTGTGTTCCTTGTGTCGAGGGCCGGCAGCGCGCCGCTCCTCACTCCTCCTCGTTCCCTCCGACTGAGGCTCCTCTGCAGACTCTTCACATGGACGTGTGGGGCCCAGCCCGCGTCCGTGGACAGGGTCACGAGCGTTACTTCCTGCTGGTCGTTGACGACTACTCGCGTTACACCACAGTCTTCCCCTTGCACAGCAAGGGTGAGGTCCCTGAGGTGTTGATCGACTGGATCCGCGGTGCTCGTCGCCAGCTCAGTGAGAGTTTCGGTTCAGACCTTCCTGTTCTGCGTCTGCACTCGGACAGAGGTGGGGAGTTTTCCTCCGACCTCCTGAGGGCCTTCTGTCGTTCGGAGGGCATCCGCCAGACGTTCACGCTTCCGGCCTCCCCGCAGCAAAATGGGATTGCTGAGCGCCGCATTGGCATGGTCATTGACGTCACTCGTACGTCCATGATCCATGCGGCTGCTCCCCATTTTCTGTGGCCGTTCGCAGTTCAGTACGCTGCGCATCAGATCAACCTTCAGCCTCGTGTCTCCTTGCCGGAGACCACACCTACTCTGCGGTGGACGGGGAAGGTTGGCGATGCGTCCGCGTTCCGTGTCTGGGGATCTCGAGCTTTTGTCCGCGATACTACCGCGGACAAGCTGTCCTCCCGTGCCGTTCCCTGTGTCTTCCTTGGTTTCCCTCCTGACGCACCCGGGTGGCAGTTCTACCACCCCACCTCGCGGCGTGTTCTGTCCTCTCAAGACGTCACGTTTGACGAGTCGGTGTCGTACTACCGTCTCTTTCCCTACCGCACTGCCTCTCCCCTCCCCCTGCCGCTCTTCCTAGCACCAGGTACTCCCCCGGTAGACCCCCTCCCCCCTCAGGGTCCTGCCCGCTCAGGTGTGTCCTAGGTCGACCCTGCCGAGCCGGTCGAGGTAGCTGTCGAGTCAGGTGCTCCTAGGGGTGCTGAGCCTGCGGGTGCGGGGACTGGGGGTGCTGAGCCTGAGCGTGTGGAGCCTGGGGGTGCTGAGTC